TTAAAAATTTTGATTTTGTTTCCAATTTTTCAACAGATCCACAGAGTGAATTACCTGTGTGTGTGCGTTTGTGTGCCTTGAGGTGTGAACTCTTGGTATACACTTTCTCACAACCCTCAAAATCGCATTTGTGCACCTTGCGCCGTCTGAGGGCGTCAGTGTAGTCAGCAGGTGGAGGTGGTGGCCGCCCAGGGGGCCGCGCCCCCGCCGGAGGCGAGGGAGGAGACGAAGAGGATGACGAGGAGGAAGAGATGAGCGAGTGTGAAGATGGTGAGAGTAGAGAGGCGGCCGCAGCGACGGCAGCGGAGGAGGAGATGGAGACTGATACCCCTGATGAGAGATGGGCGGCGGGCGGGGAGGAGACTGGAGGCGGTGACGGAGACTCGCTCAGTGACCGCTTCCCACACAACGCTCTGCAATAACAAAGAATGAAAGTTACAATAACACTGATGGAATATTCACAAGTAAACCAGAGTTCCTCCTAAGGGACAAGAAAACACAATACCGTGACTAGAACAGACAAACTTATGACAACGTTTCGGCGTGACTTGGACTGTGGATAAAGTATCTCCAACAGGGGGCTAAGACCCCCTTCTCTTAAACCAGTCACACGAAGGTGAGGGAGCCACTATATATACTGGTTCCCTAGTATTTTGAGGGACTGTATATGAATAGTTGTGAAAATTAGCCGAGAGCTGTTGATTATATTTGTTGTTTTTGTCTCTTATCAATGAGGCTGGTTGACCCACCAGAAATGGTGGACACTTCATGCAAATTAATTATTACAAAATATCGCCCACACAGCGATGGAGCCCGTCGCGTGAATGAAACTGTCTTAAAGCGTTACCCTACACATGAACTAAATGGTTATGAATGATAATTTTTAAAGGGGTGGAACCGTAAGCCAGCGGAAGGCCTCGGTCAGACGACCAAAAGCTCCAACGGCGTGTCATCATATGACTAGGACCCGCGTCAGGAAGAATTTGTCCTGTTTCCCGACGAACCTTACCCTACACAGTTACTTTCCACCAAATTTATGACTTATAGTTGCCAGACTCACGAAATCATAATAACACGATTGGAAACAAGCCAGGGTACGGGTGGGATTTGAACTCATGGCGAGTGAGTCGTAAAACTCCAGGCCAGCGGCTTACTCACTGGCCTGGAGTTTCACGACTCGCCAGCCAAAGGTTCAAATCCCACCCGTTCCGTGGCTTAAAAGCGTTCAGAGTAAAGCAAAATATTAGAGGAAATAAGAAACATTAGAGAAAAGTAAAGCATTGCACAGATAACGAATTCTTTTTCTTATAAAGAACACCAATTACTCTAAGTATTACAGATGAAACCTGAGTATTACTCACAGTGACGCCTCTCTGATTTTACGGATTGAGAGGAGGGTGGTGGAGCCGGTCCTGAGGGCGTCTAGACTCACACCGTAGGCATCTGGACTGGGCGGAGAGTCACTCTCTGAGGAAGACAACGACAACATGAGTTAAATGTTCAAATTTACTTTTGATATTCACATTTCTAGCGCTGTATAGCCCTTGTGGTTTAGCGCTTCTTTTCGAGTATAATAATATTCACACTTTTTCATTTCGTTTCAGGTCTAATCCTCCTCTCTCTGTGTCCCTATTATCCAGTTTTGTCATTATTCCCTCACCCACCTGCTGCTAGCGGTACTCGTCATAAATGAAGTCTTCATGAGAACACCGAATCACTACCGCCAAGTGACAGATTAACATGTGATAGTTGTTGGATAGCGGGCGGCTAAATGCAACAGTCTGGGTGAACAGGCACTTAAAGAACCTTGGTCAAAGGCCTCGTTGGTAGGGTAGAAAAGCCCTCAAACCCAAGCACATCACAGGTTCCCAAACACACATTAAAGTAACCACGTGAATGAACGTCAGTACCTGCCTCAGCAGCATCTTCCCACCCCAGACCCTCTCTTGTTACTGATTCCTCCATCACTCCCTTCCCTCACCACCTGGGCTAGTAGTATGGACCAGTGCCAATAGCACTCTCCTGGGTAAGTGCCAACGCTCATCTCATGGGTCAGTGGCACCCGTTCTTCCTGCCTTCTAAAGCATTTCCTACTAACACGTTTTAGTGCTACCAGCAGATTCTCTCTTACTATGCTAATCCATTGTTACCTTCCACCTATTATCCCACACAAGCCATTAGCTACAACAAACATAATTAGCTGCATATTTACTTCCCCCAACCATTGCTACCCGTTTTCAAGTCTGAAATATTGATACGCATAATTCTGCAATACAGATAATATCATAGTTAATTTTGTAACGAGTTTTCGTGTAAGCGCTAACTTGCCAATGCTAATCAAGGGTGGGCGATGAGTTGATGCTAAGGACTCTTAATGCAAGAAGTTGAACTGCCCATCAAGTCTATCAATCCTAATTTCCTTCCATCCCTGAAGGATGTATAATCAACACATTCTTCCTTCAACCCCCCCCCCCAGGCTGGATCACTTTAACAGTGATTGGATTACCGATTCGCAGCCAGTGTGGTTAGGAGTGTGTTTCCCTGCAGGTGAGGTTCCACAGGGTACTCTACCATCCAAGTATCTCTAGGCGTAAATGTTAGGCAGTTCCCCATTCGTCTAAATTTCCTTTGATGTATGACTAATGACTGGTTTGCATAGTGTCAATAACCAACTTAAAATAGTTACGCCATATGACAAGTTCGGATTAACCTTTTTTTTTTTTTTACACTAACTACTCTTCCTCCCCCCTTTCAACCGAACTTCCCTCCCTCTACCTCTATCTTCCCTCACTTTTACCTTCCGTTGCTTCCATTCCATATGAAGTCTCACAAATATACCATAAGTCTCACAATAATTAACAAAAGCTTCAACTTCCAACTAGGAAAACCACAATCATCATCAAAGCTAAGCATCACCACCACTTGAAAACTCTCCTGCTACCACTTACTCTCACCAACACCATCACGGTCACTGGTATTGCGGTAGTCCATCACTGGTTGTCGTGTGGATGACTTCGTTCATTACGTCATCCATCAGCCAGGAGTGAGTTCCTTTGAGTGCCGCTGAAGGCTGACTACTCGGTCGAGTGATGACTCGACTTTAATTTCGGGTTGGGGCTAACTGGATTATGTAAAGTTTTGAGATTCTTACTACTAATAATAATCACATTATTCACGCAACTCACAAATTGGAAAAGAAAACTAAGACGTTTCAGTCCGTCCAGGAGGGACAGAAACGTGGCGTACATTTCCTTCCACCTTGTGGATTGTTCCAACATGGAACAATCCACAAGGTGGATTGTCAGAAGAGACAGCGAACCACTAAATGGATAAAGTCGTACATAAAATAGCGTAAAACATTATTAGAGCCAAGTTTAACCAAAGCGGAGCTATATCAAGTTACAACATTTACAACCTGGTAACGTTTATAACTTAACATTTCCCGTAAGGAAAAGTCTTACGCTGGTTATTATTTTCGCTCATTATTTTAAGTGTCGTCTACTGTTAATTTACCGAACGATATTTCAGGAATATTTCTTCTATTTTAACCCAGGGGCCGTCTCCCACCAGGTAGAGAGACTCGAAAAGGAGCTTTATTCACCATCAATAATTCAGAACTGTTACATTTTCGCCCCTCGTATAGAGTACAAGTACTGTATTTCGAGCCTCCAGGACTCAAGTCCGACTAACTAGTTTCAACATCGTTACTTTGCTCACGCTCCAACACAAGCCATGCAAACCACTTGTCGCCAATTCCATCTAACACGCTCACATATGCCTGTTGTATGCTCAAGCTTCTAGAACTCGAAACCACCTTTACTGTCTCCTTCCAACTTTTTCTTAGACGTCCTCTACACCATCTTCCTTCCACCCCTGATATATATACCCTCCATCTCTAAATTCCCAGATCACCTCCATAATTCCTCCCTGGTCCTATATACCTTTTAACCTTACAACAACATCTAAATTTGTAGACTAAGTCTCTGCATAATATTCACACCACACATTGCCCTCATACGTGACAACTCCAATGCCTCCCCCCTCGCTGCAACGTTAAATTCCCATACCTCACACCCATGTGAAAGTGCTACCACTAGATACTGGTAGATTCCCCTTTTTGCTTCCATAAAGTTTTTTCATTGCAGAGATGCCTCAACACGCCACTTACCTTTTCCCCATATTTTATGGTTCACCTCGTATTTCAAAAACTCATCTGCCATCATGTCTACTCCCAAATATGTGAATACGTTCACTTTCTCCATACTCTCTCCATTCTGATCTCCAATATTTCATTGCCTAAACTTGTTTTTTTTTGCTGCTCTCTCATATGTCCAATTTAGATTTTCTTCTTTTACATACCCAAAATCTCCCAAAAGAACTGAATCATCAGCAGAGCACAACTGTGACTACTAATGCGTATCGATTCATTATCCTTTAAACTTACACCGCTCCCAACACCCTAGTGTTCACTTCTTTGCCTTACCATTTGCTGGAAAATATTTCGTCTTCTACATACCCTAATATGAGCCTCACTATCGGTATGAAAATATTTTACAGCTTATAGTCACCTACTGCATTATTATTTCCATGGGGCGCTAGACCTGTACGGGACATCCAGCCCCTGGAGAAATGAGAGGCAATCAGATCAGAGCACAAGAATAGGACAGATCGAAGCTCTTGAACTAAGACCCCTATCACCAGCATCAAAGAATACCTCCATGAAGGGTGCCAGCGGAATAAGTTTAGAGTGTTGAATAAGCAAATGGTTCAAGTGCTTGGTAAATTTAATAAACAAGAAACGCGTAACATGGAGAGCATGCTAATGATGTTAACCCCCTCAGCGCACTAGTAGCTTTTTCATAGTTAAAAGTCTTATCAGCCAAGCACAGCACTGTAGATGGTATACCTTCACACTTATCATATTACCTTGCACATTCAGTCTCATAGCGGGCGCACCTCTTCAACAGACTCCTAAAGTGGCCTCTAGAGTATTTACAATGAGACGGGTCAAGGGCATATATACAGAGATGTGCTTCCTTGTGCACATGAAGAGACGTGTGTTTGTGTATATATGATGAGAGATGCGTTTCTCTGTATATACATACTAATAGGTGTTTTTATAAGTGCATATGTACCGATGAGCGTTTTTCATAGCGTATATACACCGAGAAGTGTTATTTTTGTGTATGTACTGGCAGATATGTTTCTCAGTGTTTACTGTTATTGTATACACACACGCGTGTTGCAACAAATATACACATGCAAGATGTTTTTATGAACACTCACAATATTTGAATGTATTTAGCGCTCCCCTTTTTATAACAAAAACAGAAATTTTCGCATGTATACAATGTTTTAATTATATTCGACTTAGAAGCATCCTTGCGCTTAGTATCCACGGGAAATGTGGCCTTAATGACCTCGTTAAACACGCTGGGGCATCAGGTAGCCCCCAGAGCAGTTGAATGAGCACCTGCTATGAAACTCCCCTCCGTAACTTTTCTATCACCCTCTTTGCCTTATTTTCTAAATTCCTCGCAGATACGATGAACAGGCTCATTTTACAGCGGTCTCCATTGTGAATCCATTGGTAATCTATTGTGTGTTTTAAATGTTTGTTAAATATGAGGAGGGTGTAGTTAAGGTGGCAGGCCTTCTGCAGCCGTCAGCACACCCACACTGCATATTAATGTCCCTTGGATGAGCCAACTCTCATCAACCTCCACTGACATTTATGTGTAGACGGGTGAACTGCCGAATACATTCTACCCGGTTACCAAACCAGCATCAACATAGCTACCGACGTCGCTACTACGACTAATATTCTCCCATGACCACAGCCATCAGCTCCCACCTTTTCTAACTCGTGGAAATCATGAAATTCATAGGGATTAGATGTTTATTTTTGTCGCCTAAGTGGTTATTGTGCCCCCTATATCTATCTTGTGTACGGTAGGTCAGAACAAATGGATTCAGAAAAGACCTAGAAACTAGGCCCCAAAAGGGGTTACCAAGAATGCATCATCGGTTATCAAGAATGTTTCATCGAAAGTCAGCACTGTATGCCTCTTGTGGGTTTAGCGCTTAGTTATGATTATAATAATCTGTTGAAACCAAATTTCGAATAATTACTTAAAATGAGCAAATATCTTAAATAGGTCGAATTCCTAGCATCGACAGCCCTTCACCAGAATCAAGGCACCCCTCTCAAGGCGGATTGTACTTCGGCAATTACTGTCTCGTATTGATTAAAATAATCCATGAACGAAGTACCTAGCATTTTCTTTGGTTTAAATGATGGGGAATATTTCCTTAATAGCCGCAATTTCAGGAACGTCACTCCAGAGGAGCTTCAACATACCCATGAAAACAGGAAAGTTGTCAGCGTGTTCTGTTTGTGATAATAGCTTCATGAACAACCCTCCGTTGAAGGCTCTTTATTCGAGTAACTGGTGCACTGCCCTTCCCAGCCTTTGATCAAATCTGTTTACCTCCCATTTTCCTCTGGCTTTTTAAGAATCCATTAGGGGTTTATCGCCTCCCCACAATGGTAATATTTACAGTATTAATAAAATGCCTACAATTTATCCAACAATAATTCGACACTCAGCAAGGAAAACGAGGGGCGAGGGAGGGGGAAGAATGAAGAGAAGATCGGAGTAGAGAGTATTAGAAAGAGAAAAAGGGGGGAGTAGAAAAAGGGAGGTTTAAAAGGAATAAAAAAAAAGAGTAGACGAGGCATAAAGAGAAAAAACGGAGTAGGAAGTGGGAGGCTGGAGAATAAGTAGATAAAAGAAGGAAGATATGGGGATAAGTCGAAGAAGAGGGAGCTGAATGAACAGTTATACTAGAAGAGAAATCTAAAGAAAAAAAAATGGAGAAGGTAGCAGGAGGAAATGAAGATGGAATAGGTGTGTTTGTCAGTGTGTTGGAGAGCGGGGGAAGTCTCCTAATTGTACTCATTGCTTTATGCAGGGGGGTCGAGTCCCGGCTCCTGGCCCCACCTCTCCCCTGCTTGCTACTTAGTTCACTCTCCTGGCTGTGAGAGCCCAATCATTCCTAACATTATGTATGGTTTCTGTCTATACCACGTCGCTTTCTAGGTCGTTGCACTTCGTATGTGTGTGTGTCTGTGTGTCTGTCTGTCTGTCATCAGTCGAGGTCAACACAGGACGTTCACACTAGACTTCCTCTATCACAGCTATACACCCTTGACCACTCCGGTGATTATCATATTTCTGGGGACGCGCTAAGCTCGTAATTGTTACACAGCGCCTGGGGGAATGAAGACAATTACGTTTGACCTGAGAAAAGGGATGGCAGCTGTAATACCTCAGACTCGGGCGCAGTTTCGTTGCAGACGTCGCCACTGATGTACAGGACGGGCTAATAGCCTATCAGGCTCCCCATGACCATCAGCCAAACTTACAACCACTTCAGATCCAATTTACAAAGACGGGCCCCAGTTCTTGGCCCCGGAGCGCTGATTATCATCTCATTATCCCCTTTTCCACATCTTCTTGACGACTCTACCGCCGTGTCGTAACTGCCAGATCGTTGTTAATTATCTCCCATTACGAGGCATAATTTAACAATTGATGGGGTGCCCCCAAACCCCGCCAGCTACCGGGCGAGGCCAGCAAATGCAACTCGCCTAATTTCTCTTAAGATGCCGCGACATGCTTGTGGGCAAGGCGTAAGGCGACGATCATTAAGGCTTTTATACACATAATAACAATAACCCCACGGACGTCTAGTTTCATGGATATAAGAATACTCAATGATATATATATATATAAATATATATATTATATATATATATATATAATAATATATATATATATATATATATATATATATATATATATATAGGAAAACTACCACGGGGGAGTTGAATGATAGCTCTAGGCGTTTCGTGTTGTAATCAACATATCAAGAGCTTGCAATGTTGCAGAAAAGAAGTCCAAGCAAATTAGTTCAGGAGTAGTTACATATATATAATCGCTTGTATGAGTAAAAATGAATAACATTCATAAGGACCCTTCAAGGAGAGTCCCTTCATGCATGTGAGGGGCTCTTGATTCAAGGAACAGGGAGCTGCCCATTTGTTTTTCCTTAAAATTTAATTGGTTTTCATTCTCCAGGCGTTGTATGGCTCCTGTGTGTTTAGCGCATCCCTATAAAAATAATAATTATCTTGTGTGTGTGTGTGTGGGTACTTATCTATATGTAGATACAGAGGTTGAGTCTTAGCTCCTGGCCCTGCTTCTCAACTTGCCTTTAACCAGGATCACTCTCTCCTTGTGTGTGTGTGTGTGTACGCATAGATAGCAGAAGTTCATTACCTGTGGAGGTTCTGGTTGAGTTTCAAAACACTGGAGATAACGAGTGACTAATCCATGTTATACATGGCCTCATGCCTCACCGCCCACCTTGTGTAAGATCCGACGCAGATTAAGTGTTTACCTAAATATCGTTTTCACGGGGGGTGCCTGCACGCCAGTCAAGGGCTCTTGAAGATTCCCTTTATTGGATCAAACAAGATTGCCTTCCATCCCAACAGGTTTAGCACGTCCGGATAAATAATAAATAGTAATAAATAACCTATATGCAAGACAAGCCACAAGGGTGGAAATAATTCAAATAGATGCTGGGAAATTTTAAATAAAGCAGATTCACCGTGGCCCTTAGAGCAAGATAACTTTCAGATGAAGGAGCCTTGAGCGTCCCCTGGAAACATTACGTACTGGAGTCTCCAGTGTTGGCAAGCATGAACGATAACCCTCTTACAAAATCTGTAATATTTATGAAAGTGTTGTATAAAATATTAATTCAGAACAATTTGAAACTTTTTTCAAGGATGTCTGATGGGTTTAACGCATATATTAATAATCAAGGATGGTTTGTGGATGCTTCTTGTATACTGTTTTAATGGAGGGCTTTAACTGATGTTTCTTGGATTTTCATGGTTTTATATATATGATACTAGCTGATTTTTTGATTGTTGGTTGCTAGTTCTCGTTAGTATTTTGGTGAACAGATATTTTCACAAATATATCGTGTGTGTGTGTGTGTGTGTGTGTGCAACTTGTTCTAATTGGCATTTGTAAACCGTTCCAGCTGCTATTTGGTCAGCTAGCTTGATTTAATATTGTCAATAATATTTTGATCGAAGATGCCTTTAGATACTATTATTAATATCTTTATCTACTTTGTTTTTATCTAGTATTTCTATTAGTATTTTATCATCCCTATCTAGTATGTTTTTATTTAGTCACACAAAACATCGCTGATTAACAGGGCAAAAGAAAACCCAACAAGTGTCAAGACAGCAAAGTGAGGCTCGAACTCAACACGAAAAACAACTTGTGTCTCGAACTTTGCCCCCCTGGAGCATTAGGCGCCAGGTCAAGGGTCAACTACTGAAAGAGAAGACGCAGCCGATTTCAACATCACAATTACGAAAGCTTTTCTCTCGACCTGGTGAGAATGGTGGGGAGTCCAGCGTGTATTGCGGCAGGGGTAAAAGGGGAAGGCTGCGGTTAAGAGCAGAAAGGGGGGTATAGGAAGGGGTAGGAGAGGGAAAGCGGCTGTTGAAAGGGAGAGGGGGTAGGAGGAGATAGAGGCTTTGAGCAGGGGTTGAAGGTTTTGCCACAGGATAGAAGATCGTTTGGGACTGGAATTTGGATGAAATTGTTGCAGCAATTTTTTCTTTCTTTTTTTTTTTTTTACCGTCAAGACGAAAATGTGAATGTTGCAACTCTGTCTCTGCTGCTACAAAAATAGAACATAAGCGGATACACACGAGCACAAGTAGATCATACACCATAACACCGACGTGCTAGGTCTCTGTGTTGCCTTTTATTTACAATACCTGTAATAGATTCCAGGAGTCACCGCTTCTCGAGCCGGTCTTAAAACAGGCTTCTTAAAATTGTGGTCTAATAAATGAGCCTGTCTTAAATAAAATAAAGGAACGTTCTTCATAGAAGAGTCATTCACTTGATGCAAGTGAATGACTCTTTTCGAAGTTCTGAAGCAAAACATTCCCTTGTTTACCTTCCATTTCCCGTGTGCTCACTAACACTTATGGTCCTAACGCGTCCCCATGAAAACAATAATAATGATTATCTAGAAGATGAGTTGGAAGTCATAGGTGAGTGAATTGAACATTTCGTACATACCTGCTTTAAGGGAGAGGTCGACGCCGAGGGAATGTAGAGCGAAGGAGGGGAAGGTTGGCACTTTGAGGACGACTCCAGTATTGTGTTCCTTAAGGCCTTTGAGAGGCGTGTGCCCGTCGTGACTCTTCACCGACATCTTCGTCGTCCTCACACTCAGATCGACTGGTTCTACCTGTTCAGGGGGCACCTCCGCCTGCACGGACGGAAAGACACAGGAGATGGCATTTTAATGCACAACATATCGATCAAGATGGAAAACAGTGCAATGCAACATTTCACACTTTCTTTATCGTAACAAATTCTTTAAAAATAAGTGTCAAATGGGATCTAGGTGGTATGGCTTCATCTGTGCCCTTGCACCTGGATGGAATACGGACACACACACACACACACGTGCGTATATGTGTGTGTGTGTGTGTATATATATATATATATATATATTATATATATATATATATATATATTATATATATATATATATATATATATATATATATATATATATATTGAGACACTTATGCAGCATATGGGAATCTTTATTCAGGAAAAGTTTCGCCACACAGTGGCTTCATCAGTCCAATACAAAGAGGAAGGCGTAAGGAGAGGAGGAGTATGAGGTAATCAGTCCCTCAGCCTGGAGTCGATGTGTTCAGTCCATCAATCTTCTACAAGATTGATGGACTGAACACATCGACTCCAGGCTGAGGGACTGATTACCTCATACTCCTCCTCTCCTTACGCCTTCCTCTTTGTATTGGACTGATGAAGCCACTGTGTGGCGAAACGTTTCCTGAATAAAGATTCCCATATGCTGCATAAGTGTCTCAATCTTCAACTTGTCGGTTTTTCAAACCATTCATCATATATATATATATATATATATATATATATATATATATATATATATATATATATATACATACACTGATCTCTGGCATGCTCTCGCGAATTCCTTGCATTGATCAAATCTCTAGTAAGGCTGATGCATGCAGGGGATGAGATGAAAAGCTGTAAGCCTTCTCCCTGAAAGCTGGCTGCCTTGGATCAAACGTGTAGCGCATGCTACACGCCAAGGTATTAGTCCAGTGTGGGTAGATTGGTAAAGCACTGCGTACCTTGTCCTAAGGTTCGTAGGTTCGAGTCTCCTTCAGCCAGAGATCAGTGTTTGTGTATATTTCGCATGCCCTCGCGAATTCCTTGCATATATATATATATATATATATATATATATATATATATATATATATATATATATATATATATATATATATATATATATGCAGGACAAGCCACGGGGGCTAAAGATCCCCACCCCCCGTGGCCTCTCCTGCATAGTTAAGATCGCCCGTCTGCGATTGTTTGTATATATATATATATATATATATATATATATATATATATATATATATATATATGTGTGTGTGTGTGTGTGTGCCGAATATGTAAAACTGGTCAATTAGCAAGAACTCATTTAAAATCAAGTCCTTTCTAAAAATTTCTCTTATACGTTTAAAGATATAATTTTTCATTAATGTTAATGTAAAAATTTATGATTTTGCACCAAAAGAATCTTAGAAAACGTACCTAACCTTATTATAACAAGAACAATTTATTTTAGCCTAACCCAACTAAATATATTTTAGATTTGTTTACTATAATTTAATACTAAACAAACACAGTGAAATATATATTTTTCGTTAGGTTCAGAATGATTTTGGCGAAATTATTGCATACACAAATTTTCGCTTGTCCTGTATAGCAAGATGAACGTTGATATTTAAGCCAAGATCGCAAGTTCTGCCTATTCGGCACGACATATATATATATATATATATATATATATATATATATATATATATATATATATATATATATATATATATATATATATAAATATATATATATATATATTAGTGTGTGTGTGTCGTGCCGAATAGGCAAAACTTTCTCATATATGTTTAAAGATATAGTTTTTTTCATTTATGTTAATGTAAAAATTAATAATTTTGTACCAAAAGAACCTTAGAAAACTTACCTAACCTTATTATAACAAGGGCAATTTAATTTAGCCTAATCCAACTAAATATATTTTAGATAAGTTTACAATAATTTAATAAACAAACTCAATGAAATACATATTTTTTTTGTTTGATTCAGAATGATTTTTGCGAAACTACTGCATGCACAAATTTTCGCTTGCCCTATTCGGCAAGAAGTGCGTTGCTATTTAAGCCAAAATCTTAAGTTTTACTTATTCGGCACGACATAAATATATATATGAGCAGAGACTCGAACCGTGGTCCTGACAGGTAGTAGGTCCAGCGCTCTGAGTGTAACCTAAATGCTGAAGTGTAGCCTTAATGACCCTTGTGTAGTTTGTAAGTTTTATTTACTCTCCCAAAAACTCTCACCAGTAATTCTTCTATGAATGCACACACAGACCACAGCACTGTAAATATTTAAAATTCAACTTAATACTCAACAATGGATGAAGGTATATTATGTCTCACCTCCTTGGACGTCATGTTAGGATGCATGGCTGGTCGCTTGACCGGGGTTGGCACCCTCAGCAGCACCGGGGGCACGCTCCCCCCCTCCTCGCTCACGCCAACACGCTGCAGGAGAGGCAACACAAACGTCAGTCTCCAATATACTACGAAATGTGGATACATCAGCGATGTGCTGCTACCCTATTTGATATAATGGTTACACAGTGGGAACAAAATCTATATTTCCCTGTTATAAAGCATCACACAGGATGGGATAGGCCACACACACAAAATTATATATATATATATATATATATGTCGTGCCGAATATGTAAAACTGGTCAATTAGCAAGAACTCATTTAAAATTAAGTCCTTTCTAAAATTTTCTCTTATACGTTTAAAGATATATTTTTTTCATTAATGTTAATGTAAAAAATTTTATTTTTGCACCAAAAGAATCTTAGAAAACTTACCTAACCTTGTTATAACAAGAACAATTTATTTTAACCTAACCCAACAAAATATATTTTAGATTTGTTTACAATAATTTAATACTAAACAAGCACAGTGAAATATATTTTTTTCGTTAGGTTCAAAATGATTTTGGCAAAATTATTGCATACACAAATTTTCACTTGTCCTATATGGCAAGATGAGCGTTGCTATTTAAGCCAAGATCGCAAGTTCTGCCTATTCGGCACGACATATATATATATATATATATATATATATAATATATATATATATATATATATATATATATATATATATATATTTATTATATATATATATATATATATATATATATAAAATATATATATAATAATATATATATATTATACTGACACTGTGGAGGTAAATGATATAAAATACCGACATGGTGGAAAAATAGAAACAAATAAGTGCTACGTTTCGCCCACAAAGTAGGGTTTATCAGGTCGCAAATAAATCTGTCACTACATAAAGCCCACTGTGTGGACGAACTATATGACTCCTGTGGGTTTAAAGCTTAGTTATGATTATAATATGTGGGCGAAACGTAGTCAATAAAGTACAGCATTATACTGCATTTCTGTCTATTATTTCCAACGGTTACACAGAGGGAACAAAAGCTAGCTATGTTTCTCCTGACACAACAGAGTGACCAACAATGTTTCTAGACAGAAACGTTCACAAAGAAATGTCCTCGTGTTGACAATTTTCCAGCTACCAATCTGGAGTCTAGATTTTTTCTCTTAAGAGAAAAAATCTAACCACAACATTTCTGATAAATATATTTAATTCATTGTCGGAAAAATGCTATGTCACATACAGCTTTAGCAAATGTTTTTTGAAAATAATAATAATAATAATAAACTTCGTTTTGACCCTAAAATCTGAAGGGGTGTTGATCCAAGTATCTGGAGCTATCCTTTTCTCGGATCAATCCTGATTGTTTCCCATCTTCTTGGAGCTGCATGACTCCCTACGGGTTAAGCTCCCCCATAAATTTAGTAATAATAATACTATACGCGGTATGACCCTTACGAGTTTAGTGATTGCTTATGATGATGATATAATAATAATAACAACAATAATGCTCCTGTAGTTATACCGCCCTTAAAGAGGGTTGCATTAATGCAAGAGAAGAGCTCTTGATTCAAAGTCCTGGAGCTACATTCCCTTCTTGACATCAGAGCTTAATAACCTCTCATTCCGAGGCACACTATTACCCTGAAGGATTTAGTGCCCCCCTTTGACTGTCTTACTAAATCTTCATTTAAAATTATGGTATCACAAACAGGCTGTGGGTCTGTGTGACTGTGTGGTGGTGGTGACTGTGGTGGTGGTGTTTGAGTGGTGGGGGAAGCGGGCAAAGTGGCTCCCCTGGGGTAGTGGTGAAATGGATGAGAGTGGGGGAGAGGGTGGAGAAGGTTTCACCTTCACCTAATTCGGCTGACCATTCACCTACACTCTCTACACTCATTAAAGCCCTCGTGCATGCTTACGTGTGCGTTGACACATACACAACATTATATATATATATATATATATATATATATATACATATATACATATATACATATATACATATATATACATATATACATATACATAAATATACATATATACATATACATAAATATACATATACATATATATACATATACATAAATATACATATACATATATATACATATATACATATATATACATATACATACATATACATACATATACATACATATACATATACATATATATATATATATATATATATATATATATATATATATATATATATATATATATATAATTTATTTATTTATTGAGACTAGTGTTCAGATGGATTCTAGGAGAGTTTCTAGACTCTTCCTAGAATGCATTTCCTTTACTTCTCCGAGGCTAGGGGACTCCGTATATTGCATTAGAGAGAGATAGATAGAGAGAGATAGATAGAGATAAAATCATTCACAGCTTTAGTTTAGGGTAAATCTCCAAGTAATACGGGACCAATTTTTCCAAGGGGGGGGCCCAGGGAAAAAACAATTGTGGCATGAAAAGATGGGAAACCCTTTATACGGCGCATGTACACCCCCTCATTTACAGGCTATCCCCCCCAAACCCCAGCAAACCCAGGTTGCTAAGAGTTGAGATGGGGCCCCGTCTTTTAAAACTATGACCGGGTTTCTAGCCAAAAAGAAGAGGGTTTTTGGGGCAATCGCAGAGATTTTTGGGTCCATTTCCCCTGTCCCCCTTTGGTCTTTCCCATTCTAGACCCGGGTTTTAAGCACGGTCTGCTATTTTGTGGTTTCTTTTTCTCCCCTTGTTTTTACCGAGGAGGGCACTATACTTATAACTGTACTAGTGTACTATTGGTGCCCAAAATTTGGGGAAAGGATAATTTAACCCTAAATTTTTTTCTGTGGTTTATTTTGCTCCCATTAAAACCCGGGATAAAACCCATTTGGAACCCTGGGTTGTAATATGGGGGGCCTGCCCGAGAGCTGGAGGGGACTTAGAGAAACGGTTAAGCTTAGGGTGAAGCTCGTAGCGGAAACATTGTGCAGCTTGCTTTTCCTGGAAATTTGAAATTTGCTTTCCCTATGCTTTCCCAAATTTTGCGTGTCATTTTACTGTTAGGGTCACCTTGCTATTGTGTAAATTCGTTAAAATTAAAGCCTCGCTATAGCCTGTTCGGTGTGGAAAATTTTTTGCAGGTCCCCCTTTCTTTATGCGTATTCTACAATCGTACTGTGCATAGTTTAAGGGCGTGTCTGAAAACTAACGTGTTACTTTGGGGGGTTTTCCCGGGCCAATCGTATGTGCTTTACAAAATAACTTGTGCCCCCTAGACGAGTCAGAGTCTGGTGTCGGGCATAAACTTTCCATAACCCTACCTAAATTGTCCCTACAGCGTTTTTGGGCAAATTGTGTTCCTTTGGGCATTAAATAAAAAAGCACTCTAAACGCTCCCGCAACTGCGTTCATTTATTGCTGACAAACTTATAGAAGAAGAGGGGGCACATCAGACCCCTCCCTCTGGGGGAGCTAGGGCAAAAAAAAACCCTGTTCTCGCAGGAGGAAGAGGTTACCCCCTACGGAGAAAAAGGGTTTCCTTTATAGGGGCAGCTGGGTTTCTAAAAGGTGAATCAGCGCGTTGGAAATTGAGCTGGAAAAAAATCAATCTTGAGCAAATGGGGAAACAGAGAGCTTTCGCAAGGAAAATTTTGTTTGGGAAAAGAGAAAGGAGGCATTTTTTCGCTTTTCTTTTAAATGATTTTAGTTTAAAAAAAACCCGTACGCTTTTTCCCCCAACTTCAATGGGGCCGAACCGAAAAATTTTTTTCAAAAGCTTCGAAAATCAGGTTCGGCCTTGAGGGGGCCCGGAACAGAAAGGGGCATCTTTGGGTTTCATACACCCATTATTGGGTAAGGCACAGGAATTTACGTATATTAAATGACGCTAAATTTTTCCCCTGATTTTAAAGTATGAAGACCACAGTTTTGGGGGAGCTTAAACATGTACCCCACCCAAAATTTTAGAAAGTTTTTTAAGCGGGGCAGGGGAAGCTTGGTCAATCCCTAGTGGACTTTGTGAGCCAGAAACTAAAGTTTTTTTACCCAGCGGGTAAAAAGCAAGTGGTCTCCCCCTTTGGGGAAAGCGGTACCCCTTATTCTGATGAAAAACCTGGGGAAGTCTGTGGGACCGAGGTTCTTGTTTTTCTCTGCAGTTTCGTGACTTAACCACTGCATTGGAGGCAGCCGGGTTGGCTGTTCCCCTTCGAAACAACCGCCCCTTTGTCCGAGCGGTCCCTCCCTCTTTTCAACACCTTTGGCATGAGCGGGAGATCTTTCAACCTGGGGAGAAGGAAGTGCCCCCGGGGGGAGAACGTTCCCTCACCAACTAAGTAAACCGGGTGGGGCCCCCGTTTTCTCAATTAGGGTTTTCCCACCTGCGGGGGGGGAGGGAAAAATACTAAATGGTGCATCTCGACAACATTATCCGAGAGACACCAGCCAAAAACGCACCTTTTGCAACGTCCGCAGGGAGAAAAGGGCAAGCCGTTTCGTTTCCTTTTGTAACAAAGTGGGGTCATATAAAGTCCCAACTGCCCCCCAAAAACCAAAAACCCCGGGGAAAATCTCTAATGTCCCTAAAACCCATGTCCCCAAGAGAAGTAAAAAGGTATGGCCCCTTATTTTTTGCAAGAGTCTTATTTTCCCTTCGGGAAAAACTCAGAAAAAAACTGAAGTAAAGCCCTTTTAGAGAAAATGGAGGCATTTTGCTCACTTGTAAGGGAAGGGAATTTTACCCCTTTCAGAGAACATTTCCCTTTGAATTTCTTTTTTAAATTTAAAAGGCATTTGGGGAGCTAATATGTTCTGCCCCCTTTTGCTTTAAAAATTTATTTTACAGTCAAAATATTCCCACTGGGGAATTGATTGTAAGTATCTCAAAAGGTTTTCCCCATGAAAGTTTTGCCATGTTTTTTACGGGGGGTAAATAACATTACTACTTTGGTTTTTTCCTTTTGTCCTAAACCCCTATAATGAGAAATTTCCCTTCCCCCCGGTTTTTGGGCCCCCATAACTGGGGGGAACACCCCAAAGGGTTGTCGGAGAGAATGTTGACCTTTTTCCT